CATTAAAGCCGAAGACTTAACATACGCAAAATATGCACTTGGCCTTGCCATATTTTTCTGCGACTATGAAGCCTTAGCTAATTTATTTAATCAGCTGTAAACAGAAGTCTAAATGGAAACCCTTAATAAATAATGAAGAAAATCAACCCATAAATTTTTATCCCATTATTACTTTTAAATTAGTTTCCCTTAATTATACCCCGAATCAGGTATATTAAGTTTACGACGATGTTTGTAACACCCGGAAAGAAACATCGGAAGTTTTGAGATATCGAGCTAGCTGTCATACAAACTGATAAATCTAAATCTATTCTTGTATGGAAAACTTTTTTATTTGACAAAATATCTTCACGAAATTTGGTATGGATTATTGTCAAAGACATAATCTCTAAACATATTGACATATCAAATTCGAATTTTTATATAAGTTGAACTGTACTTTTAAATATTTAAAACAGATTTTCGAATGAAAGCAAACGAAAAGCCGGTGTTCAAGCGGGTATATATATTTATACAATACGTATATATGTAATTGAAAAACTATGTCTATGTAAATATAAGTATACTTTATCAACGTTTAACAAAAATGCGGCAAAGCCATTTTGTTTTCAACAAAACACAGTAAATGTGTAAAACAACTTGTGTGCTTAAAAATAATATACCTAATTGCGCTAATCATTTGTTTCATTCACGTTTTTCGCTTTTCTCTCTTTGAATTTACTATTCGCGTTGAATATTGTCTGAATTTGTTTGCACACATTTGTAAATATGTTCATATGTATGTATGTATGTGTGCATATACGATTCCCTCAACACTTGATTGCGCTATAATTAGTGCTTTCATTTATCTTTATGTTTTTATTAATATTCTTATATACACCTAGATATAGTTAATATGAATGGCTATATTCTTTATTACTATTTTATATATTTTTTAATTTTAGAAATTTCGTTAATCACGGAAAATACGCCTATATGGTAAATACAATTAAAAACACAAATTTTCATACAATTTTAATAAGATTCAGCGCAATTTCTTTTTATAGAAAAAATATACAAATACACTCCTACGCATTTCCGCATATTCTCTAGTAGTCACAGACAGTGACAGCACTCATCTTTACCAAATCTGATATACGTGTACATATGTATTCCGTTAGGTTGCTTTATCCCCTAGTTTGACGCTCTCCTCTTTAGCATAAAAGTTTATCTCCCTACTTTTGGACGAGTTGCGTTTTCCACCATTACTCCCTTATTTAATGGATCTTTTGTTCGGTGACTTCAAAGTGTAAGCATAAAAAATGCAATTTTATGTATCTGTTTGAGGTAACTGTTGTGGGAGGCTACAAAGTTGATGTTGAATGAAACGGTGAACTGCCAGAACTGCCAACGGAATGATGCAGTTCAATGGTTGGATTTTTATCAGCAATGATATAAAGTCTTCCCGATAAATATGAATGTCATAGCTGTAGAAAAAAGTATAATTTTAGCTAGTTTTTAAAGCTAAGTAGTGTAGACGTGTGTAAGTTTCCATACCCTGAGCAGGGTATATTAGTTTGCCACGAAGTTTGTAAAGGAAATGTCGGAGACTCTATGAAGTATATATGTATATGTATATACATATAAAAAAAACATCGTGACGAGCTAAGTCGATTTAGCCATGTCCGTTTGTCTAAATAATACGCGAGCTAGTCCCTTAGTTTTTGCAATATCAATCTGAAATTTTTCACGCTTGTATGAAAAACTTTTTCATTTGACAAGATATCTGTCCGAAATTTGACATGAATTATTGCCCAAGGCAAAACTGCATTCTACAAACATATTAAAAGAGCCCATTTTGTTACAGTTGATATTGACAACAAAGTCAAGATGGACAAAAACGGACAAATCTTTGAGGGTTATAAAAATATACATTTCGACCGTGCTCTCTCGAATCAAAGAGTTTCACCTTATAATATTTATAGTGATCATTGCAATAACTTTTATTAACTCTTTTGCCGAATGCGTCACTTTACGCCTTTAACAATGTCGAGTCGCCTACACCGATACCATTATCATCACTATCAACTAAATGCATCCCTTATCCTGAAAAAAACGCAGTGCCAGCAAGAAGAGGCAAAAGAAAGCAGTAGTGGAAGTGGAAGTAAAAAATTAAAATGAGGGGAGAAGTTCCGCTGCTTGGCATTTGTTTTCACTGACTCGTCGTAAACCGACGATTATTACGAGAACGTGGACATACAAGACCAACGCGTGGTTTGACTTTACCGAGTTATGTTAGAAAATACCACCAGCTACACCCCCAACCATAGAAGCGCACTTTGTAGTCGCTGCACGTTTTCTACATTTTTTGTTGCTATGTGAGAATCTTTCGCAAAGCATTTTCTTCAGTTTTGCTATGGAAGTTGCTATTTTTTTTACCATTTGTTTTAACGCAAAAATATAAAAATGTCAAAGCAAAAAAGGTGAAAATAAATAAAAGCGAGTGGAAAAGCTCGCTGAACTGAACTGAAAAAGTGAAGTGGCTGTAGACGGAAGTTGTGGTTGGGTCGTTGATTGCAAAACTCGGTGTGTGCAGATTGAGCGCAAGTCGTACACCAGCCCCCATATGTTTTCCATCGATGTCGTGCGGTAGTATGTGTGTTCTCATTGCTGCTAAAAGGATGCTTTCAACACGTTAGATGCATAACAGCATGACGTGTGCAACTTAGCAGGTATTTGGCCGAGCTTTCCACCCGATTTTTGCTGTTTATCATGGCAACAAACTTGCAGGTTTGATATATTATCGTGACGAGGGACGATCGTTGTTAAAATAATAGAGTTGCCATATATTTAGCCTTCGCTGCAGCCGAATTTCTGGCCCATATCCCCCTGTATGCTAGTCAAACACTCAATAATTTGTTTCCGGCGGTCAATGGCATGCGCAAACCTGGCAGGTGGATGCCCAGTTCCTGTCCATTCCTTTTGCGTCAGCGCGTCGATGACAGTTAGCAATTTTCAACACTTAATATACATCGTCAGAGCGCAAACATATGTCATTACATCTATACCTATACACATGCACTCGTCGGTTGTTGGTTTTGTAGAATGATACAGTTTTTATACACAATTTATGTGCTATTTTTGTCCGTGTATTTGGTTGTTTGTGTCAGCACTTCTGGTGTTGTGGCAGGAACGCAAATTACTACTGCTACCAGCATCTTTTAGCAGTACCGACAGTCGCTGCAAAAAAATTGTGTATGTACACTGCCACTCTCAGTTAATGTTGCCAACGTTTGCCTAATATTGATTGACAACTGGCCAGGAGTTTTTAAGTTGCCATGCAACGTTATGAACTTGCAACTCGTACGTCTCTCTTTTAGCTCGTTGCTGAAAGGCCTCCTGGCACTTCGTGCCCATCAGCTTATTTGGTAATATGCTAGGAAGTCAATTAATTTTTATTATACCCTGAACAGGGTACGTGTATATTAAGTTTGCCATAAAGTTTGTAACACCTAGAAGGAAACGTCGCAGACACTATATATATATAAATTATCAGCATGTAGACCCGAGTCGATTTAGCCACGTTCGGCTGTATCTACGCGAACTAGTTTCTCAGATTTTTAAATATCGTTCCGAAATTTCGCACATGTACCTTTCTCTCCTAGAAGCTGCTAATTTGTCGGAACCGCTGATATCGGACCACTATAGCATATAACAACCATACAAACTGAACAATCGGAATCAATTGCTTGTATAGAAAGCTTTTTCATTTAACGAGATATCTTCAAGAAATTTCGTACGGGTTATTGTCTAAGTCAGAGGTGCATTCTCTGAAGGAATTGTTCAGATCAGATCACTATAGCATAAAGCTGCCATACAAACTGAACGATCGGAACCAAGAGCTTGTATGGAATATTTTGTATATATGAAGGGTATTATAGCTTCGGTGCAACCGAAGTTAACGTTTTTTCTTGTTTTTATATGCATTAATTGCAATTAGTACTTTAATTTCGGCTTCGCCTCAGTTTATTGAGTAACGAGATTTGGCTTGCCTAAATTTATTAAAATTGAGAATTTAATTTACAAAGGCAAATGAGATATGTTATATGAAATTTCGTCTCACCTTTTTGGTCATCTACCCGTTGTTTGTTAAACCTGAAACTAATCGATTATCGAATTGTTTACGATGATGTCTGTCTATTTGTCCGTGCAAGCGATAATTTGGGATATCTTAATACGTTATGCAAGTTTGACTCTCTTAAGAAGTTGTTATGCCAATAGGTTTTGTGTATTATTTTTGCATAAAGCTGAACCCTTTAATTACCATAGTTATAATGCTCTGATTTAGGTGAAATATGCGCTGTTTTGTTCGATAGCTAGTTTCCATATTGAAGGTAATTTTATAATAGCACTCTCTAGAAACCCTTGTCCCTATTGGCGAAAGACTGGGTCAGTCGATACCCGTGGCCGTGGTGCAATTGTTAACAGTACAGATCGGTCTGACCGTCAATTCTGCCCTGACCACCCTTTGCGCGAGCTGATCGCGGTTTGACCAAAACTATTTTCGCTCGACGTTGTCATAAGTGACCTATGAACCGATTTTGTTCCGATTCAGCACCACTTCCTTGTTGAAAATTCGATCAATGAGGATTTTTGCGTTAACTCGTGTGGCACTAACAATCATTTGTATTCAATCATGCCTCTGTTGTGCTAAAAATATCTTCTAATCCCAATACACATTAAAATATTATATTCATCAACTTTGTCTACTTTTTTAACACATTTTCTTTATATCTTTCTTCTTCCAGCAATAATGCGTTGTAATCCTTTAAAATGTATAAAGTATAAAAAAGGGAGCCATTAACAGCGTCATTATTACCAATACCAAAAACAACAGCAACTGCTCTCCAGTAGGTATTGTGATTTGAGAGAGCGATTTCAATGTCCAATAGCGTACTCAGTACCGAGTAGTCGAGAAGCATTCATTTATCTGCATGTAATCTCATGCCTTTGAGGGCTGGCAGACGTTTATTAAAATGATTGCTTCCGTTTGTTGCCTCAATCGTTGTTGGCAACAGTTTTTTCGTAAATGAATATGTGATTTCAAAAGCTGTAAAGATGGAAATTAAAAAGAAAAACTTACTACACGAAATACTCGCCATCACTACAAAGTATTTTTTCAACCCACCTACCTTATGGATCTCGAGCAAATAGTAATATGCTCCCATGTGTACATATGTATATATAGAAGAGAACTCTCACAAATTTTGGACACTTACCTAGTAAATAACTGCGTTACGATTGCAATAAAAGCGATTTAATTAGAGCATTTAAGGTAAGTTCACTAAATAATAATAGTAGGTATACTTGTGTCGCATACTGTTATCGATGTTCAACTCTTTACCTCTTTGGATTCCATACAATATATGCTTAGCTTTCTTCCATATCAATTCGTTACGGTACAGAATTTTTTGTAGACACAATCGAACGATTACATAACAGTACATCAATATGCAAATATTTATTGTTAATAAGTCCTGGAAAATTCCTTACATGCGGATTACTGGGACAAGTGACAACTACACCAGTGAAAGTTGCTGAACAACGAATGTTCATTTCTACTGCTCATACTTTCAGCACTAGAAATATAATATATATTGCAAGCGAAAGTTTAAATAAAAGAATTATACTTACATTAGCACTCACTTGTAGCATTTTGGAGCCTTTCTCTGCCCCCCATATACCCCATAAAATGATTTCCATCAGATGCTTCTACCAAAGCATATTACAATATTTTTTTCGAATTAAACACGGAGATATCTACTTTGATTTAAAGGAAATAAAAGCTGCCCATCATTTACCTACTTTTACCACACGTTGACCATTGTATTACAGCAACATTTGCAGATGATACTGCTCTTTTGTCTGTGCAAAACACAAGCTGCATCTACTGCAAGATTGCAACAACATTTAAACAAAATATTTGCATGGACAGCTAAATGGCGAATAAAATTAAATGAATAGGTTTTTGGGCAGAAACTCTGCCCTATCCACATCTAACAAAATTCTTCTTTACATGCAGGTGCTCAGACCAGTTTGGACTCCAGCGATTTCAAAACAAAATTTTAAGATGCGTCTTGAATTTTTCGGAATTGATTCAGTTGCCGCATCAATTCACAAATATGCCACGTCTATATGTTAAGACTTTCTCACCATCTTGAGTCTTAAAGTAAAGGAAAAGAAAGGCTTAAACGCAAAATACCGTATCACCTTATAAAGTAGCCAGACTATCTGCAATTTACACGCAGAGCATCATTAATTCATTTGTACTATATAATAAGCAAAACAAATTGTTCGTTAGTTTATTTTATGTTAACTAATTACAATGGCAATGAAATAAAAAAAACTTCACATAAATGTAGAAACATACGTGCAATTTCAGTTAATAAAATAAACTTTGCACCCACCCTTAACACTTCCATTTGCGGTGTTCTTTTGTGCTTCATCCCAGCCTCAATATTTCAATTGCAATTGTGAGTATTTACTATGCTATGCTTAACTGGAGTTACATATTTATATTGTAATGCATTTTCCGATCGCAATTCATTTTTCTATATTCATCACACAAGCTTTAATGTTTATTTCTCTACTACATACAATATTTTTGCATTATTTAATTGCAATTAGTAGCATTATCCGGCACTTCAATGCAAAAATACTCAACATAGCATAGCATTAGGTGCCAAATGCTTGTTGTTTTTTGTTTTTCAAAATTTTTATAAAAACTTGTCGTTCGTGTGTTTATGAATGCATCAACGCGTTGCTTTCGTTCAGTTTGTGTTTTTGTGTGCTGCATTATAAATATATTCAATTAATGCAATATTTCCTATTCTGCATTGTATCTTATTTACATTATATTCAGTGTATGTAATTAAATCACATCCCGCCTGTCGCAATTTTGTTAGGTATTTCGTTGTTCATTGTATACAATTTTATGCGAATAGTAAGTGCTACGATTTTTTATTTTAATTTGTGGCATTCATTGTGACGATAAGCAATATTTCAATTTTATTACATAATTTGAATATATAATTATACATATGTACATACCCATGTTTATTCACATATATAAATGAGATTTCAAATGATTCGTAAAAATAGTAGAAGGCGTATAACTGTAATAGAACTCCCTGCGTTTAGGTAATCGGAATCACTTGTTAATTAATCAAATCTACATGTAGTAGATATGTTTAAGATGCATATAAATTTACTACTGAACAACAACAACAATGCTTTACATTTTTTACCTGCTGTTATATTTTCATTATTAATTTTGATTGCAATACTTAGATATGCAATGTTATTTTGCAGCTACGGTTGTTACTCACTATTGTTATTTTCAATTGAATTAGTTACAAAAACAATGGCAAAGTCGAGAGCATAATCGCTTTCAGACATATTCCCTTTCTGTTCCAAAGAGGTGTAATGTAATAAAAAAATTAAAATCTTAAATGCATTTTTCTTGAAACTGCAATTTTTAAATCGAGCGACGTATCCACGTAATTTCATGGTAACAGTTATTTTTTCGCATGTACGTTGATATCATTCGATTTGTTTTAGTAAGTTAAAAATTTTATTTAATTTAACTTTTAGCATTGGGTCGCTAGTGATCGAAATATATATATATATATTGAAATGATCAGTGTAACGAACTGAGGCGATTTAGTCATGCGTGTATTTTGGCGAACTCGTCTCTTAGTTTTTAAGCTATCGTTCTGAAATTTACACACGCACTTTTCTTCTTAGTAAATGGGTAAAATATTTTCGAACTTCCGGTTGACTTTATACCGCATATATCGGTGAATGTGTAAGTTGTCTTCCTAAAATGAAAAAATGTTTCCGAATATATTTGAATTATGCCAAAAGTTAATTGCAATCAGTCCAGATCTTCTCCCAGCGATTCCATTTCTCTTAATCCTTGACCTAACTCTTAAACCGTAAGAGAGAATCGCCCTTAACGTTATTGTTCATAAAAAAACATTTTCATATACAATTTTAACCCTTTATTTAATTGATGTGTGAAAAAGTTGTCACATGATGATATATTTTGCATTTATTGACAACATTTCAATTTGCACTTCGTTAAGGCCTCATAACACTCTGCTCTAGTTTATAGTGTTCTCGCCATTCGCTGGGTGTAGTTGTTACACTTCTTAAATCTTTTACATTTCATTGGAAGATTGGGATAACACTCCTAGATTTAGTATTATTTTATATGAAATACCATATGTACTATGTATGTATTTATTAGTATATGAATTTACGTTTATAGTTTTCAACACTTAAAACTTAAGTAAAATTAGATTTGTACAAAAAAATAACACAAATGACAATAATGGTTGTGCCGAAGCTGCAACTGTTGTGGTCGGTTCACACCAAAGTGTATTTTGTGTACTAAAAAGTGTACAGATTTCTTATTCATCCAAATTGCTCTCGATTTGAACTCTCGTTGCTAGGCCGCGGCATGCCTTCCACGCATCCACCTCTTGCCGGTAATTCAACATTATGAATCGTTAAAAGCGCTCATCAACAAGAAATATTTTTACGACACGCATTGGTATACGACGATATGCCTATATCTGTACAATTTACATATTCATGTAGATATATATGTAAATATTTTTTCGCTACATAAATTTACAGATTTCAATCTGCGTTTTAGCTTTATATTCACAGTATTTATTTTCTTCCTTTACTCACACTTTATACTCATGCGAAATACACTCAAATAAAAGTCTTGAATATATTATATTTTACTGAATTAAAAGAAGGGGGAGGGGTGTAGGCCGTGCGAGTTATGTTGCAAAAAAATTGCAAAACACCACTGCAGTCTCTGAGCATTTATTCTCAATTCGAGGGGATTCTCAGCTAGCGCTCATCGTACTGTTTTTTATTTGAAAAGGCTCTCTTACAATTCGCGAAAAGAAGAAGAAAGATAAAACAAAAAAAAAGTCCATCAACACCACAGTTTTAACCTTCTCCCTTCGAAAGTTTTCATAGGACAATGCATTTGACGGATAAGTACATGCACGCATACATACATATATATGTATTTGTTAGTGCAAATTTTAGCCGATGTGATATTGTCGTAATTTCAACCCTTTCTGATCCTGTGATTTTTAAAGTAGTATGCATCCAGCGCATGCAAGTCAACTTCCTCGCATTCTAATCCAAGTTCCAATTTCTGAGCGTTTCTTGCGTAATCTACAGTGTACTTATTCGGAGTTAGATGCACGCCTTGTCTTTCCGACAGGGGATAAAATGATCGTTGGATACACATCCATTTCTGTATGTGTGCTTAATTGATAACACCGGCTATGTTCAGTTAACGCAAAATATTTAAGCAAAGCAAATTTCTTTTTGCCTTTTCGGTTTGCGGCGGTGGCCACACTCTCGTACTTTTTCTCAAGCAGATCAGAAACTGCTTAGTTTCATGATTCTTATCCAATGAGCTAAATCTTGTTATTCTTTTACCTGCGTTATCCCTTACACTCTCACTCCGGTCCGACCATTACCAGTGCACATTGCACGTCAATGCATCACTGACGTTGCACGTAATCACTTATCACAAGCTGACGCATTTCTGGTCCTTAAGTACCTACAAAACCGAAAATATAAAAAAGCACTAATACACTAATAAGTTCATCAAAAAATGCAACACTGTGTATTACTGTGTTTTTTTCACGCATCCACTCTGCGTAGACCTCAGCTTCGTGGTATCTCCCTTTTCTGTCTCCACGCTCACAATGCATTTGTCGAGTGGGGTTACTGACATTCACTCGTATGTCTCGTCATCGTGCATATACACGAATAGCCGTCTAGGCGTCTACAATGCAATTGCTCATATTCCACACCTCGTTCTGGCATTTCGTTGATAAATGCTTCTCGTACTCGTAGTTCATACGTTCGTTATTTGGTTTTGTTGAGCAGAACAAATTCATTCGTCCATTCGTTGCTGGTTCATGATGTAGTTTTATAAATGTATGTAAAAAGTTTTTGACATTTTATTAAACCTTCAGTTTTTTCTTTGCTATACGTGTACGTTTGTATGTATAGTGTTTGTCCAATAAATTCTTGGTTTTTTTCAACACAAATGATTCGTATTTGGCTTGGAATATACTTATGTAAATATGTATATGTAATACAATCTCGTAATTTATTAATATTATGTTCTTTGATAACGGCAAGTTTCAGCAACTGTTTTCGCCTCCACTTATTCTTGATAATTTCCTTAATTTATAATGTTCGCTCATTGTGTCTTTTTGATTCTTTGACAATTCTCTACACGAGTTGATGTATGAAAATGAAATTTTGATAAGCTTCCGTTACACCCGTTACATAAGAACATTGAACTTGTTGCGTAAAGCACAACATTAATACATAATGAATTTATTATTATATTATGTTGGCTTTGTTATTATTAATTTTTTTTTTGTATTTTGAAGAACATGCAATTCATACATAGAAAAACTTTCAATTATATTATATATTGCTTTTATATTAATATTTACATATGTAAGTACATATATGGAAAAAAGTGGAGATTTCTTTACATTCATATTTACCACACCATTATAGCTTACCACGATTTGTAACACCCAGAAGAAACCGTCGGAATCCATAAAATATTATATATACATACATATTGTATTGTACAAACGTGCAATATAAGTATGTATGAGCAAAATCAAGTTCTTGTATGGAAACTTCTTTATTTGTGAAGGGTATTCTAGCTTCGGGGGAACCGAAATTCACCTTTTTTCTTGTTTTGTTTATTTTTGACACTACCTATTACTCTACGAATGACTCAATTGAGTTTTATGTTACTTTTCACGAAAAATTCTCTATATACATACATACATATGTACATTATGTAAAAAAAAATAATAATAATAATTAATGTCGCATGCAATTTTTTATTCCCATAATGAAATAAGAAAATGATAATAACCATATTAATTATTGCGCATGTATTTCGACCGTAAAGAATCTACCAAATTGGAAAATGTGCTATAGTCGTGGCCCAAAATGAGATCCGAGTTATCAACGAACATAATTCCTTGTATAATAATACGCATTCATATAATTATGTACTTATGTATATATATTTGTAAAAGGCAGAATGTATTGCAATTAAATCGGATGCAAGACTGCTCCGTATCAAGCTGTGCAAATTATTTCGGTACACATGTTTACTTGTGAGCGATTTGACGGCAGGGTAAATCAGCTAGAATAAACCGCAAACCAACTGACTCGTACTGTGTTGATGGCAATTTTTAAATATCGGTCAAAAATTAAAGTTTCATACTGGTACACATATGTACTTGTATGTATGTATGTACTTAACTGCTTAGTGCAATTTATATCCTCAGGAATATTGATTCGCCGACGTAACTATGCTCTCTCTCTCTCTGAACCAATTTAGGAAAACGTAGTGATCCTATTGAACGATTTGTTCGGGATTGTACATAGCATCGCCTGGAACTATAATTTATGCCAAATTTCGTAAAGATATTTTGCCTAATAAAAAAGTTTTCTTTACAAGAATTTGATTTTAATCGATCAGTTTGTTTGGCATTTTTTTCCTATAGTGCTCCCATATCGAGGATTCCGACAAAAGAGCAACTTTTTGGGAAAAAAAGGACGTATGCCACAAACGTATTGACTAGTTCGCGTATATACAGTCAGACGGACGGACATGGCTAAATAGAATCAGCTTTTCATGCTGATCATTTATATATATATATATGTACATATATACTTAATAGGTTCTCCGACGTTTCCGTTCTGCTACTCAACATTCGCTCTGCAGGACTGAATTGCAATGCTTGTCAACAAACCAGCCTCATACCGCAAATTCACATACTTACAGAAATACATACATACTTGTATGTTATGTACGTAACCACGCTTTTATCTATTTACTTATGGATTCTCTGTAAATAGTATGTGCATAATATGTATGTAAATTGTAGTGTTAGTCGCGCGCTTTTGTGTTCAGTTAGATGAGTCAGCGGTTGGTTGTGGTTTTTTAATCATCAAATGCGCGAATCTCTCCCTGAGTTCCTGCATATAAACCCCACTATATATGCATACATGTATACGCACACAATTATAGAAATGTACAAATGAATTGGATTCACTAAGAAAACATCAAACAAATAAAGTCTAAGTGAGTAGAAAATAAGACCAACATTACGTACATACTAGAAATGGCCACTTAGTGAAGTCGAAAGCCCCGCAAGAACCTTATACCGAATAGTACTGCATAAATATATAATAAATATAATATAGTTATAGCTGTCTTCGATTCGCAATTTCTCTGCTGGCTGCTGCTTTCTTGTCAAAAAAATTTACATGTAAAAACAACAACAAAGTCATCGAGTTGAATTCGTACACTAAAGTGTGTGGATAATTCATTAAAGGCCTATAACCGCTATTTTCAAATGACAAATGAAAATACAAATTTATTTTTTTCTTGTATTTTTTAAACATAAGACTTTATAACAACTTTTAGAAAACCAAAATAAAGGGTTACAGCTACGGTTAGCGAATGGAAGACCGCTTATATTTCCTACAGGGTTGTTAGTATGAATATACTTACATCAAACTTTGGTAGTTCACTCTCGTTGTTGATATGCACAAATAGAAGAACTCGCCAGCTTTTCTTACCAGCTGCTCTTTCGGTTTTAGTTAATTATTTACGAAGTATGTATGTATGTACACAGGTATGCATAGTACTTTGTAACGCATACGAATGAAATTGCATCATTTTTGATCGATCAGCGAGAAATCTATCAGTCCTCTTCAAACACTTCTTAAGTTATGCCGCAGATGTCAACAGTTCGAAGTAATCGAAGATACGTTAAACTATTCGTAGCGTGCAGTGATAATTCTGTGTATTTTATTTATTTGCATACAATTCAAAATTGCACCCGTAAACAGTGAAAACTCCCATTTATCGGTCACAATTGCAGTCTTAAAACGTGACGCGATTGTCAAGTGAATGTCAATGCTAGTAAAACTTCCGAAACCGTATGCAGCAGTGATTTCCAAACGGTAGGTGTAAGTTGAGAATGTGCGGTAATTAAAAACAAAATTCTCCTTTTACTGAGTCGGTTGGACTTACTAGGGATGTTGGCGCACGCTGATAAATGTTTTCGTTTTGGCAATACTTTCTTTCCCTCGATACCCTTACTAACTGTTAGCGTGAATAAAGTCCGGGTTACACACAGAGGTTACGAAACAAATGCGGTACTTGCAACTGCCGATCTGCCACTGTTGAATTGCTTCAATTTGGCTACTCGTAAAAAGTATACAAAATATTAATTTGGTGAAGTGCAAATATATATGTACATTAGGGTGGGTCAAAACAACGAAAACATTTTTTTTAAAGTCATATTTTTGTAGAAAATTTACTATTCTACAAAAATGGAGATATTCAACGTCAAACATCAATGTATTTTTGTTTTAATTATAATAAAATGCTCGGTCTTGAGCACGAAGCCATATGTACATACATATGTGAATAGATACGAATAAGTTGATTCTTAAATATGTGTTTACTTTTAGCACAGTAAAAACAAAAAATATTTTGCTTTCGGTTTCGAGTTAAATCATTGTGAAAATAATATAAAAAATAAGTATTAAAGTTTGAAACTGTTATGTGGATAAACATGTAACATATTGGAAAAATTAGTTCACTTTAAGAATCTCTATTTTCGCATTTAAGTAATAGGCATTTTAGTGTAGAGTTTTCAACAATTTTTGACAAAGGGACTCATTCACCAAATTGAAAGTACCAAAAACTAGTGCCACTTGAAATTTGGCTGAGGAAGCCAGATATTTTATAAAACCATTTTTTGACTTGTTAAGTCAATCATTTTTAACTACCTATTGCAAGCATTCTTTTATTTTTATTTACTCTCCAACGTATGCTTCGCGCATTCACATTTTTTGTTTGTTTAAAATAGACCGACTGCACCGCTAGTAAACAGAAGATTTCAGTGGTGTGGTAATATTAAGCACGCTACTTGTAATCAACACAAAATCCTAGATGAACACGAACCAGCCCATGAATGGCACTTCAAATTCGTTTCTACTTCAACAGCCCCGTTTTTCATATTTCAGTAACTCTACTCTCTTGTTTCATGCTTGCATTTCTCTCTGACGCGGAGTCTAGTAAGTTTTTTGAACTCCATCGTAGCCGCCCAGTCCCCTTGGCTGATGTTTGTACGTTTCCACTCGCCAACTAGAGGAATTCATACTACCGCCAACCACTCGCAGTCATCATCAGTGTTGCACTTATTTCCTCCTCTACTATATACTATGTACATGCTGCATTTTATTTTAGTCTGCTTGGCGCGTTGGCGGGCTTGGAACGAGAGCTTGATATGTAGTGACGCAATTGCGCACCAACAAGTTGTGTTCGACGGTATGCATTCGTTGCTGAACGAGTATAGAATGTGCATGAGAAGAGAAGCAAACTTAGCACCCAGTTCGCTGACTCCCCACTTCGCAGCTGCAGACACACTCCTGTGTTATCCTCACGAACATCCAGTCAACAATCATAGCCTGATGGAGCTGTAGATATAGTAGTTCGCTAGTTACAAAACAGACACTGTCACATCTAGCGTTTGCATATGCTCCGCTACTGTTGTATCCTTTTCTTCTGAGTGTATAGTATGTGAAACAGTTGTTATGCTCAAATTGGCTTGACTGTGATTATAGCTTTTTATTTAGGCACATACTTCGCCTAAAACCATGTGTTAGTATATGTATATGTGTTGTGGGTTAGCAAAAATGTCAACTTTGCTTGTTTTGTTTTTACAAATTGAAGGCCGAAGTTACGGAAAGTATGCATATTAAGCGAGTTAAGCCTTGCGGATGCCGAATGAAATTACTACTATACTACCACGCCCACTAAGAGATGTAATGTAGTAGCAGGGCATGTAGATAGACCGCAAAAATGGTATGACAAATTGCACGCAAATGCAAGCGGGAGTATTGATCGATTTCTGTTGGTGGTCTGCCGCAAGGTTCACTGACAACAGCACAGACGATGATGGCATCTAATTGTTGACGTGACGTATTTGATTTTTCGCGAGTTTGATTTGTAGCTTTTGCTCGTTGTTAGCTACAATTGGCTCTTTCTTGTATACATATAACTCATTTTTTAAATTTATGTTTGTACATGTACTATACTAATTGCACAAATACGTAAATAAGAACTTTTTATAATTTTTTGCAGATGCCATTTTTGAATTTTTTATAAGACTTCATCTTTATACAAATTACATTACGTCTGGACCATTGTTATTCTTGAAAGTGTGGACTTTGCAGTGAAGTCTGCCAGTGCTTACTTCGATGTCTCGTGCAACACCTGAAAAATGGTCAAAGCGGTTTCAGCCCGAGCAACAGCAACCACGGCCGCTTTGTACGTAGCAAAACAGCAATTGCAGTTACAACAAGAACAGCCGAACGGCAAGAAATCTAAGCAAAATCATCAAAAAGAACCGCAGACTTCTTTTTTCCGATCTGAACCCGAACAAATTTTAAAACAACGTGGACAGCAGTTTGCTCTTGACGCTGAGGAGGTGGAAGAAGAGGAGGAGGAGCCGTGTGCGAAACGTATTGCTGTTGGAGCGCTCAGCAAAATGGTAATACCATCCTCGGCAGCAACAGCAACCACCAGCACGTCATCAGCGTCCGTATCCTCTTCCGTCACATCAGCAACAACGACGAACAATGTTAACACGTATGCTCACGCTGATCAGCAGCAAATACAACAACAAAGGCAACAACAAAATGCTCTCTATCAACAACAACAACACCCGCCCACTAGCCTCAACAGCCAACAGACAGCGCCGCGGCAACATCCGAAGAAGCGGAAATTCGACCCAGCTGAGCTGGACCGGCAACAGCAAACCTCGCCACAACCACAACACCACAGCGATAGCGCAGCAGCGACGTCGTCGATCTCCACAACAACCACATTATGGCATGATAACAAGCCAATTTCGACGAATAAAAATGCTAATATAAACGCCGAGAACAGTAACGGTATCTTACCTTCGGCGAGTTTGAAGAACAACAACGGGGCTGCCACAACGAGTACAATATCATCAGCAGCAACAGCAAATATTGTTGTTACAAGCTGCAATAGCAACCTTTCGTGGTCCGCTACAACAACAAGTGGTGCAAATGAAGTTGCAACATCGGCGGACATGCTCAATACAGCGTTACGTTCGACTATCCAACAACAGCAGCACTCGCCAGCAACATCGATGATTGTGAGTCCGGTGGCAACGGCGACACTTTCTACCATAACACTGCCGGCAGGAGTTGTAGTTGGCGCTGGCGCCAACAGTAACAGTGGAACTACAGTTGTAACGGCGGTTGGGCGTGCCGCCACCACTCTAGAAAACCCCGAGAAACGCACCATAACAAGGTAAGTGAACAACTTTTTTATTATAATAATATATATTTTGTTTAATTTTAAAATTTGTCTCCAGCACACAGCCGTCGAGTAATTACAAGCTGCAAAATGTGTTAAGTGTGACTCACAGCACCGGCAATAATCGCACTCTAACTTCTACCAGCAATACTACGTTGCAACAACAACGACACAGCTATCAGCAGCATTTACAACAACCACAGCCAGTGGTTACCAGCCAGCAACAGCATCAGCAGCAGCCGCCGCTAGTTGCTAATTTGGATCTCAGCGAATGGTCGAATACGCGCGTATTGGCCAAATTAAATAACTTCTATGCATCGGGTATTATACGACAGACGACATCGTACAATGGCAGTTGCAGTGGCGCAGATGCTAACAGCAGACCGCCTTCAGCTGCTACACCGAATTCAATTACAGTCGAATTCGATCCGCCGGAAAATTGCACACAACGCTATTCGGACGTTTTGGGCAATGGGCGTTTCAATGTGATATTGGACGCTAGTCCACCATTAGCTGATGTAAGTCGAAGCGCACAAGCAAGTTGTTTTCAGCAATGAATTAGACCTACTATACATTGAATGACAAGCCAAATCAAATCAAATCAGTGGTGTAATTAAAATATTCTTTGCTCTTCTTATTTCATTAGATTAATGTGGACACTCGAGTTTGTGTGCGCAGTCAGATAGAAGGTCGTTCGGGTTACGTCTTTGTGGAGGGCACGGTTACGGACATCAATGCAAACACAAAACAGTTCACCGTTCAAATTCACACAGATTCGACGCCAATAGTAAGTAAGGCAATTTATATTGTCTACAAAATATATAAGAAATGTAGAAGTAAAATATGTTAAATAAATTAACTTACTAACATAACTACAATTATAGTTTAAAACTGTTAAACGGGCAGATTTGCGTCTGCTGCTACCGCCATGGTGGGACGAATTGCGTGAACTTTCACCTTTTCCACATCAGCACCACACACATGTTTTTGGCGCACATAAGGCGAGCGGTGCACACCCATCGCTGCTCACATCTCCACATCAGCGCACTGCCGGTGGCAGCGGTACTTCAGGGTCAGCGACACACAAAACCATTGTCGGTCACCATCATCCACAATTGAGTTATGTGGCTACACGTTATGACAGCAAAATTCCGACACATCTTACGGTAGCCGGCTCACAACAGCTGCCCGCACACATGACTTCATATAGTGTCGCACAACAGCATCTGCAAAAGCAAGAAGAGTTTTACCGGACGACTGCCACCTCACCCTTCCAAACTGTAGGTGGCAGTGGGCAGCCATTGCTTGTGAACGCCCACAATGCGGGAACGATTGGCAAGATTAACGGCAACGGCAACGGCAACAATGCCGCAACGTCGCTACCCGAAATTGTTGTTTCTCAACAGCAATTGCAGTTGGGCGGCGGCAGCAGCAGCAGCAACAGCCATCAACACTCACATTCACCATCAGATGATCTACAGCGGCGCCAGTCACGGCAATATGATGAATTCGAGTCGGATGATGAATTAAAGGGTGTGCAAATAGATGGTTACACACTTGGCGATGGTGATCCCGAGAAGCTATCGGCGGGCAGCAAGCGTAGCAGTGTACAGAGCCGCGGCAGCACATCAAGCACCCCAAGGTAACGCCACGGATAGTGCCAGTTAATAAATTTTAGTATTTTAACAACTATACTTATTCGTTTGCAGATCTCAAGGAACAACGCCGCATCGTTTCAAAAAAGGTGATATTGTTCAGTCGGAATCCGGAGTGCGCAAAAAATACAATGGCAAACAATGGCGTCGCCTATGCGGTATGTGCTCGAAGGAATCTCAGCGACGTGGTTTGTGCTCGCGCCATCTTAATCAGAAAGGCAATGCTTTTCGGCCAAATGGCGCTAATCGATTTCCTGGGTATGTCATATCAATTGCTGTTTTCAAATTTACTCGTAATAATGATATAGAGATACATTTTCTCATAACAGTGATATGAATAGTCGTTCAAGCAGTAAGACGCAAGTGGACGAAGACACTTCGCGCGACTCAGAAACGTCACCCAACTACCGTGTGGCGGGCCGCTCTGACCAGGAGGAAACTGATGTGGCTAATATTTTAGGTAATTTAAGCACAAAATGGAAAAATCAACTGCAACAACAAATAATTGTTTGAGCTTAGTTATAATGTGTTGGGGCACAGCGAATATGACGCGTACATGAATTTGAGTATGTGGTATGAAATAAATTGCAGAAAATTTTCCGACTCAAGTTGTTGGACCCGTATCGCTCGTGGGAACGCAATAAGATACACCAATAGAGAATTTGCTGATAATGAGCGACATAGGAGTCCGCAGGTGAACGTAGTGTTGTGTGATTAATTTTTACGTTACAAAAAATTAAAAGTAAAATATTTAAAGAATTTGAGAATTTTTCCAGTACACTGATCTTACGCTTCGGTTTAGGCCAGCAAAAAAAAACACTTCACACATACAAGCAGTTGTATATCATAATTTAAGAACTGTATCAGTTTTGGAAGCAAATATACATATTGTCAAGAGTAATGAGCATACACTGTGTATATTGTTAAAACCATTCTGACTGTGAACGGTGATTTTAATTGTTGAGCACTTGAAAACTTACTTCTCTTAATCATCAATTTACACCTACAAAACCAAACTCTCCACTCTCCTTGATTCCATACTTTTGCCAACAACTAAAACAATAAATAAATTTTACCATATTGAAAGCATGGCAACAAAATTTTTAAGTACCTGAAGATGAGCATTGTACATTTGTATGCAATGCATTGTTGTTATTATAGCCTTGAGTCCTTCCTTTTATGTCAGCAGGTAAATTGCAAATGTGCGAAAGAACAAAACCACTACATAAGAATAGTGTAAAGTACCGATTTTCAAGAGAAAGCTATAGCATTCAAATGTGTAGAAAAATCAACAAAGAATACGAGAGTTTAGTGATGAGCAGACGTTTGAGAAAACGAAACTAAAGCGGCAAATAGAAATCCGCGTCGGAGCGCGAAAACTGCAACACATTATTTGTACAATGTTAAAATTTGCATAAAAATATTTAACTTTTATAGAATACATAGTGTTAAAAGTAAAGTAATATATTTTGTTTTTTTTTACTAAATGTTCAAAATTTACTTGACATATCAGTTCATTACTTGTGTTTATTAGCTGTACGTACGAAAATGAATTTAAATATATTTTTGCCCAGAGATGACGTCGCTGGAAATTTATATCTTCAATGTTTAAGTAATTTTTAAATATGTGCAGTGTTTTTTTTATTTTTATTTTGTTTATTTGTTTGTTATTTCTACCTTTAAACGTGCATTGTTCGTATTCTCCACAGTGTCACTGAGCAGTTCACGTTCGGCCACGCCAAGCTATTCTTCACCTGTCAACCATGGTACCTCGCCGATGAATGTTACCAATTCGCCCGTGCCAGTAGTCTCCAATCGCCAAAATTTTTTCACGCCAATAGGCGGTGGGCCTGTTGTAACAGCGGACGCGCAAACAACTAAATGGAAGCCCGCAGCCAGCCCCATACAGTATGGTACAGTGGGTTATTCACAAGTTATACGCCCCGAAACGGTGCGTGCGCAAGGCAATGCTACCGCACCACCGCCACAACAATCGCCCGTCTCTATGGTGATACACAATCAAAACACCGCTAATGTAGCAGCTGCACATCTGCCCGGAACCGCTGGCAATATACATCATTCCTCGCTGCACTCAGCGCATCACCAGGTACCGCCACCACTATCTCCAGCACAATCTGCTGTCATGCAACAGCAGCATCATTTGCAGCAACCGCCACTCGCGCATAGCCATATATCGCCAGCCGGGCCACCTCCACCGCTACCGATCGTTAGCAGCGCTGTAATTGCACCACCTCGGCCACCTGCTTCTGTGGTTACAAGCGTTGGTCACGCCACCACCAGCGTTATACGGATCTCACCTGCTGCCGCCGCTGCCGCCAATAATGGTTCCACAGCTAATGGCAGCACCGCAGCATCGGCATTGCCGCAATCCTTTCATCCTGTCATAGTCGATCCCACACAGCTGGTGCCTTTGCTCTCGCCGGCAAGTGGCAATTCATCGTTGCAGACAGGACAACCCACATTGGTTTCGATCAGTAGCGGTTTGGGTGTGGGTGGCAGTAATAGTTCGCTCATAGCCGCCGCACATCAACACAATTTGCAACATCAGGCGCCAGCGCCACCGATTTCAAATGAAAAGACGATTTCAAAAAACGGTATGTACCGCTAACAATCGTATTTTTTTAGTAATTAATATTAATGCCTTTTTCTTATATTATATATATATATAGGATTTCCGCCGGGGTCGATATATCAATGGCAAATGCTGTTGCCCACCATCAGTCAGTCCCCCGTTAAACCGACCAATTTTACGATAGCCGGCATCATACCGCCAACGGCGGAAACACCACCTCCACAACAACAACAACAGCAGCAACAGCAACCAACACAAGGAATTAATTTGATAAATCACCATGGCGCCCACAACAGTCACAGTAATCATAGTCTGAGCGTCGGTCATAAAATGACCGTTGACTTAGACTCACCCGAAAAGCCTCTGAATTTCTCAACAAGTGATGCGGCGGCCGCCATGAATACTACTTTTAATATTAATAATGGAGCAGGAACATCGGGTGGTAGCGGGGGCAACAGCAGCGTGCCACAAGAAGATAATGACGATCAATTAGACGATGACGTATTCGAACCAATGACATCAGCGCATCCAAAGCCGAAGCACGCACGATTCGCCATCAACAGCAGCAGTGACAGTTATAGATATGGCAGTTCGTCTAAGAATAAATATGGCAATGAAGGTATGGGAGAGGCGAAGACGTCAACAACATCCGGTAATAGCGGTGCGGCGGCCAAACGACGTTCACAATCGCTTAGCGCAATACAACAACAACAACAACAACAGCAAGCAAAATCAACTGCCGGAGGAGGAACTTGTGCCATCGACAAGGAACCCTCCAGTCCAGAACCGGACAAAATCCGTCGTCCTATGAACGCTTTTATGATTTTCTCGAAAAAACATCGTAAACTAGTTCACAAAAAGCATCCGAACCAAGACAATCGCACTGTTAGCAAAATTCTAGGTGAATGGTGGTATGCTTTAAAACCGGAGCAGAAAGCTAAATATCATGAATTGGCCAGTTCGGTGAAGGACGCCCATTTCAAGCTGCATCCACATTGGAAATGGTGTTCGAAAGACCGTCGTAAGTCTTCTAGTTCAGGCAAAGGTGGACCATCTGGGGGACCTGTGGACAGTAGTGACGGTATCGATTTGCCAATACATAGTCCCGGTTCAGCGAGTGCTTCAAGCAACACTGCCATCGACTCTCAAGGCGATAATATACCACTTACAATTGAGGAAACTCTGGGTCAAGTGAAAGAGGAAAAGACGAGTATAAAAGCTGAGGTGGTGCAACCAATCGAAACCCAACAGTCCGATGATGAGCACGTAAGTTACACGAATTACTAAAACAACTATAGTTTTACTTGATAAATTATTAAATAACAATATACCTTTCGCTGTAGATGCTAGTGGTAGATGAAGCCACAAACAATAAGCAGAGCAGCAATAGCTGCAATTCAGGATCTCAACAGCACGACTCTACATTAAAGCAAATAGATCTAAAGTGTCGTGAACGCGTTACCGATTCCGATGTCGAGGATGCCGCTTATGATTATAGAAAGACCGCATCGAATGCGACGAAGAATGTACAAAGTGAAAACTCAGCTGAAAACGAAAAGGTTTATAACTCTTTAACAATTTAAATTGGTATTGTATTTTTATTTTGATTAAAAATTTAGCAATAATTATTTAATAATTTTATTAAAATCTTTATTTGTTGAACAACTTTTCTTTGATATTTAAATAATAATCGTTTCTCAATTCAAAGCTCTCAATGTCGAAGGAAGCAAGTATAAAAAATGAGAGCCAAAATAAATCGGAAGAAATTTTAGCGCACAGCTCTTCTGGCAACAACGCTCTTAACCCGAGCACTGAGCGCGACATAACATTGAAACCGAAACCCATCAAGCCATATGCCTCTAGCATTGAAAGTAGCATTCTTAGTCCTCAGCAGATGCCGAAGTACTCATACAACAGTCCGAAGAACCCAATCGGTGTAACACCATTCCAACCAACAGGCGAGCGCAATAAATTATAAACGAAATACAACTTTGAAAAGCGGTTGCATAATTTCTTGTAATTGTTTTAGAAAAGCGTTTTTTTATGTAACGCATTTGATTTCGTTGTACATAATATTTGAGCGCACTGTTAACAGTAGCGACATGACGTAATGCTTTTCTATTGTATTTTCATAATATGCAATTATCTCTCATATTTACATGCGTTCATTTATAACAATATTTGTATTTGTTTTCGTGTAGGCGGTGCGTTCAAAACCATGCCAATAAGCCCGAAAAGCACGAAGCTAGATGAACAACAGCTGCAACCGATACATATAAAGCAGGAGGATATCAAGCAAGAGCTGACTTCGCCATACATAATGAATGGTGGCGGTGCGAATGTAAATAGCGTATTTACATTCAATGTGCCAATGGGCGCGGCAGCCAGTCTAAATCAAAAGCAACAACAAACAACAGGACATCCATTACGCAGTCCCAATACCATGGAGGGTAGTAAAGGTATACGCGAACTTGAAGTAACAAACACATATATTATCACTTCTTATAATTTATATGTTATAATATAATATGTTGTTATGATTTATCATAATTCTTTTTCAGTTGTTGCTATTGTGTTGTATTTTCGGTTGATATTTACTGCTGTAATTTGATTTTTATTTCGCGTTTATTTTAAACATTTCGTTGATTTTTGAAACCTTATCAATTGGCTGTTTAAAAAATCTTAGAAATTTTTTAAATCAATATGAGACTACTCTTCATAATCACCATCGTCATAAGCATCCTTAGAATTTCATTAATTATTATTTAATTTTCAACCAGTTAATAGGTCATCTTTTAAAAAACTCCATCTTCATTTTTTATTTTTTTTTTATATTTTCCATACGCAATAGCATTCTTACGTGTTTTCTAGCATATCAAAAGTTGCTGTCTCTCTCTATTTCTTTCTCTCTCTTCATCATTCTTCACAATTAACCATTGACCATGCCTGACTACATGCGCATTAATTGTTTACCAAATCATCATCAACACATACATATATATTTGCATTTTGCGACAATTAAAAATCGGTTATATATGAATGCAGCAAGTCAGTTGATTGTCGCTAAAACCACAGAGTGCCGAAAAGATACTCGTCCCCAGGCACTTTCTGACTTCGCCGATGAGGACTACGATGCTTACGAGACAGAAACGGATTTTGATGATATCGAATTTTATACAATACCAAAATTACGTTTAACCAGCACACCAACGACGCCCAGTTGCAACAGAACACCAACAACGAAAACGTTTTCATCAATTTTGGCTGTAAGCACGGTTGAGCCACTGGCTGATCGGCCGCCACCATTGAAACGAAGACAATTCACTATCGTGCGTTCATTGACACCACAACAACAGCACAACTCACCACATCGTCAGTTGAAATATTTACATCAGCGGCGGGTGGAGACACCGCCTACAGTAATTACACGCGTGCCGACACCCTTTGGTGTTAATGAGCCGCAATCGCCGAAGCTCAGACGACAATCGTTGAATTCCTCACCTGCTCAGTTTGCAATTATTCGTACACACCACCATCATCATCATCATCATCCACATTCTAATCCACACTCGAATGCACATTCATTAAGCTCTACACCGCCACCTTTGTTTTTCAACAAAGCATCTAGGAGCGCGACCATGATATCACCACTCACCCTACCTGCGGCCACCACAATATCAAACACCACCTGCTCATCCATTATACCCTCATCATCAACATCCACATCCACAACAGTCTCATCCTGCTCGCAAACTGACAAAATTAATGTTTTCCCCTCTCATTGCTCCTCATATAATGCTAACAACAACAACAATAACAATAACACACCAATTTTATCATCTACAACAAAATCGTCGACTCCAACGACAACAACAACGATTACAAAAAAACTGATTACAATTAAAAACGGCTGTTCAAATAATCCAAATCTCGCCGCAAATGCTAAAGACGTGTTTAATAAAAACTCAACAGCGGCCCGCTCCACCATTCTGTGCGACCCGATGGTAATAGAGCCGAGGAAAGACGCGCAGATTAACGAGACCGATGCGGAGACATCAGCAGTTGATGCAACTTCCAACATTAAAGCACCAGCAATCACAATGCAACAACCACCGACAATGCTGGTAATAACCGATGGACAGCGATATGCCAGCAGCTCCAGTGCTCAGTTAGTGCCGCATAAATTGAAAAAGTTTTCAGACGCTGGCAATGGCAGTGCGCCAGCCACATACACCTACGTGTTGGCAACCAATAGCAATGCCGGCCCCAACAAAGCCAGAGGAAGTATCAATCCAAACGCGTTAAACATAAATTCTACCCCCTCCACACCCATCACAGTCAAACATTCAAATAGCGTTGCGACCACTTTGCGTCCATTGTCGCTGATCAGCGTGAATTCCTGCAACAAAATTACGCTGCCGGCGAACGCACGCATACTCGCCGCAACTTCATGCTCTTCCAATAGCAACAACAGCGGCAATATTGTCGCTATGGGCAATGGCAACATAGGAATTAGTGGCAGCAATGCACCGCCGATTGGCAGCACGCTCACGCTGTTGAGTACAACACCATCGCTTACTGCAACCGCTACACGTTTGGGCTGTGGCAGCAATATCAAGAACAATAATAACAGTATCATTACAATTACTAATGCTACTAACAGCAGCAGCAATAACAACAACCTCAATAACATATTCACTTTCAACGACACAATAGCAACAACTAGCGGTTCCGCCGCCTTCAATGCTGACGTCAAAAGTGGCGGTGGCAGCAGCGAAGGCAACGGCGGTAGCACTTCGATTTTAATGTTCAACTCAAATATTGCAACTGTTGTTAATTCCACAGCCAGCGCAGCGTCATCATCGGTGCCTTCGTCACCTGCAGCGGCTAGCGTAGCCATCAGCTCGACGGCGGGCTCCTGCTTTACCAACACTCCAGTCATGACACCAACACAAATACTCGCAACGACGACTGGTGGTAATGGCGGTATCGCAAGCGGCCAGAAGCAGATACTTTTCACAGTTAACAATATGTTAAATCAGGTGAGTGTATAAATATAAATGAGTAAAAGTAAACATAATAAAACTGAAATATATTTCCAGGTCGCCCTTTTGCCAATGCCACAACTAACAGAATCGTCAGGCAGTATCGCCGCCGCCGGCAATGTTTCATGTGGACCAAATAAGCCAACTGCCATCTCTTACCCCAATTACAAGAAGAACAATGGCCAAACGACTTATGGTGTGAATACAAATATAAATGGCGGTAATGCTATTTCAAATGCCAACAACAATAACGGCACTTTAATGCACAATTATACTGGTTTGTTGGCCTTTATTCTGTATTTTGAAATATATTTAATTTTAATTTTCTTCCTTGGCAGAGTCTACCCAAAAATCACCGTCTTGCAAATCATTACCCACCACTCCGAAATCGGCGTGCTTGTCTTCAACTTTCGCAATGAATCCACCGGACTCGGCTGGTAAACGCAGCACAGATAGCAGCTCCACCTCAGCTTTGGACGCCGAGGATGAGCAGAATGACATTGGTGGCAGACAGCAGTTCGTTTTGGCACCAACGCCAGCACAACTGGGTCGTGCGAAATTTCCGCGACGAAAAAATTTTTGTATGTACTAGTTCTTAGCCTTAGTTGCGTAGTACGTCTAAACAATTTTCTATTCTAAAACAATTACAGCTTCAAACAACACAGTAAACGATAATGGCAATAATAACACATTTTCTACCACTGTTCTGATGGGATGCAACTCTATGAAGAATTTGAATTCGCCTATTATGGTGGACTCATCATCGCCAATAATTGGCAATGTAAACACGGTTGTCAGCTCGATGGCATCGGCGCTACCCACACCCACTTCGTCAACGACCACGCCAAACAGTGATGAACAAATGCCAACTACACCATCGGCTGTTAATAGCAATAGCAGTGCCGGTAGCGTAAGTGATTTAAGCGGTATGTTGAATCCCAAGTCGCCGATAAAATTAGCATCAGTGACCAAAAAGAAAAACGATGACATGGATAAGTGAGTACCGTTCCATGGAAAATCAACATATAATGAATACTGAATTTTCTAGATAAATTTTGTGTTTATAAATATATATTGTTCTACTTATAATTAGTGTCTTAAAACAAGTTGATTTCGAAAAGAAATATCAGGCATTGCCACAGTTCAAACCCGAGGATTGTCTATCTCCCAGCGCCATCGCAGTGCCATCATCGCCACGCGTCTACGGTACTAATTATCGAAAAAAGAATCCACCACAGCCAATTGTGCCACCAAAAAAGCGTGAGTAGCAATTTGGTAAAAGCGCCTACAAATTAATAGTATTTAACATTTTTTATATATAGCCGTCTGCGAAGACGAATCAGCCATTGAGACAGCATCATTGCCATCGACACCGTCACAGCGTTTCTTCGGACCCGATTTCAACATTGAACAGCTAAGTAAGTGCAAAGTCACATACTAGCGTACTAATTGTATAATGATTTATCATATCGGACCTTGATTTATCTATAGATTTGGAGAACTCCGATGAGACAGACCGTTCGCCGCGCACTCCACAAACTCCTTTACAAAGTGCACGGTCCGATGCGAGCGAAAAAGGACATCGTAAGGTATTGGAAATACGGCGCAAGTTTGTTTATCAACTTTTCAACGAACATGGCATGTTTCCATCAACCCAAGCTACAATGGCTTTTCAGGTATGCTATATGAAGACAAACTATGCATTTAAAATGAAGTATACATAAAATAAAAATTCCCGCTACGGTAATCATTGACAAGATTTATGAGCAATGATAACAACAAAAGCAATAATGCATAATCTGTTCTCACAAGAAAATATATTTCGAGAATTTCGCATACTCAGAAACAGCTACGATTACCATTAGCGTTGAGTAATTAGTTTGTTATCGAATTTGTAAGCAGACAGACAATAAATTTAATACAGAAGAAAACTCCGTGGCAAACTTAAAATACTCTGTTCAGGGAACAACAACATATATGTGCATTGTTACCTGGGTACGTTTTGGTTTTTTGTTCACCTGCTTTCTTTCTTTATAGAAAAAGCACATCGACGTATTTCCGCGAAAACAAGATCTCCAACTGAAAATACGCGAAGTGCGTCAAAAGTGCATGAGCCAGGCCGGATTCACGCCACACTCGGCCGGTCCTATGACGCCATCCGCTGAGACCAGCCTGTCCACAACTGCAACAATAACAACAAATACAAATATAGCAACAACAACGCTAAACCAGAACTATGGGAGCGGAGAAAGTTGTAATGATAACAAATCTTAAATCTAAAGCCACAATATTTGAACGAACATCTCCTATTGTTTTTTCTCTTTAGATGCTCAATCACAATCAAATGACGACTAATTAAGCGGAGCTTCCCTGAATACGGAGCTCATGTAAAGGGCCGATAGTATTAAATACACAATAGCAACTATTGTTCATATTTCTTATAGAGAGAGAGAAAGAGAGAGAGAGGGAGGAAGGGAGAGTTCCGTACAATCAAATTCAAATTCAGTGTGCCATGGCAAGATGTAATTATGCAATTTATGCATATGACCATATAATGCCATCAAGAGCTGTAAGTAAGTAACATTTGCAACCGCAATGAAGAGAAGTTTTTAATGCCAACTCAAGAAATATTTAAACATATGCATGCCCATTCAAAGGAAAGCAATTTACTTTGCTATACCAGATGAACTGCGACAACAGTGTATAAGTTCAGTGACAATGGCAGTGTATTATTGTTCGAAAACGGTTTGATTGTCTCTATTCGATATATATATATATATATGTAATAGTTAGAGAATTCATAGAAGACATAAATTTGAAATATTATGGAGAGAGAACTACATAAATACTAGCAAACCGGTTAATATAAGCAATAAGCTACTGTTATGACATGTGACCTGGTAACAACAACAAACAACCACATACAACACGATTCATATTTGTTGCAACGGTACACCAACAACGCCAGTAAAGAATTACCATCATTAATTGGTAAACGCATACTAAGCCTAGAAAACTGAAATGAAATGGAGTCGAAAAGCGATTGTGTATATTAAGAGAATCACAAATATAGACACAAAGCGAACAGCACAGTAAAGAAACACACAGTAAATTTATTTAGCACACATATAATGCAAACACTTTAAAGCATATATAACTAATCCCAATTAATTAAAGCTTAAATAGTTTTTAATTTTAAAACGCATCAATAAACAATACTGCAAAGCATACAGGATAGAAATAAACCCTTATTCAAGCATATAATCAGTGTAATGAATTCAAATAAGTAAATAATGAATTAACCGATTGTATTAATACAATCAAACAAAGAAAAACGAAAGAAAACAAAAAACAACATGTAATTTAAAGAAGTGCAGAAAATAAATAATTAATTATTAACTAAGTAGCCTTTGCAGGTTAGTGGGTGAACTGAACTTAAAGTTATTATAGATGAAGCTAAATTAATTATAGATGAAGCTTAAAGATGGCTTAAACATAATGTTAACACATTTAATAAATTGCTACAAACGGCACACGATAACAATTATTCAATCTTGGCAAACATTCATACAAGCAAAGTTATAATAACGAAGTAACCCATTCAAGACACTATTATCATTTTATTCAATTTTTTAAATCAGCGCATAAACAAACAAGTAAATGCATGAGAATGTTTTATAATACACAACCACAACCACACACAGATAAAAGCATTGGTAACTAAGCGAGCATAACCTATAATTACTTATGTGCATCTTGCAAATTTTCGGCGATTTTCTTTCCTTTCACTCGCAATTTCTAACATTAAGTTAGTTGTAAATGCATTGAAACATAAATTGAAGTAGAATTTCATGTAAATCAAACAAATAATTATTTATTTATACCTTTGTATGAGTATGCCACCAGCACAAAGTACATTTTTAATTATTTTAAAAATTTTTAATTTGTTTCCAAATCTCACCACTTCCCGCTCCACAATCCAGTTAATTATTTCAACCTTCCTTTATATTTTTTTTACCTATCCACCTCCCTTACACATTGAGCTCCGTTTTATATACACATTGTATTTTAACTGAAATTTTATTTAAAAAAAATATATATTGAATTTTAATTTATGATTTTAACATTTATTTTAACTATACAATTTTAAAACAAAAAAATGCTGTCTCCTTGCATACTTTATCTCGAGAAAGTAATTGTAAATGAATTAATTTGTACGCAATTGGAACACACACTTTAGTTTTAATACAAATTTATATTTATTAGGTTATTTCGAACTCGTTGGCACCTTATGGTTAGGAAGTACGTACCATTTTTACCCTAAGCCACATCGAGTCAAACGTTTTTTTCTTGAATTTGTACAAATCTTTCTTTGCAGAAAATATTAAAAGTTTGCTTATAAGTTAGTAGAACCCAGCTGTTCACATTGTGCATTTTGCAATTATATAATATTTCAATGGTTTTTAAATATTTGCTTTAATGCGCAACTTTTAAATGCGCCCATTCGCTTACAGCACTGAAATTAGATATGCGAAACAAACACGCATACGAACATACTATAGTATGTTGGTAAACACAAATGTGAGCGACTGTCGTCTTCCACTTACAATATTGCAATATTACAAATATTGTTTTTCTTTTTTTAAACATATGTGCATTAATATTTTATACTTAAATATATAAAAACAAACCTTACTTTTTGTGTTTTAGTAATTTTTACTAAAAAAAATATTTGAGCAAATGTTTCCAAACAGTTTTAGAAATGTTTAAACTTAATTCACTTGAAATATCTTTGTACAACATTTCGAAAGAAGATTTTTCGATTTTTAAAATATGATTTTTTCACATTTTATTACAAATTCGTAGTAATACGAGTATATATTTCCTTGCATGCATTTAAGACTGTATGACAAAATTTATTTTTGATTATGCACTGTATTAGTTATTTTTTTATGAAATACTTACACATATGCATGCATACTCGTATTTGAACACGCATACCGTGTACGGATTTCTTACGAAATTTTGTCTTGTAGTTAAGTTAATATTTTAGTTATCTTACTTTTGCAATAGTTTCTTTTTAATAAGTTAAAAATATGCAAAGTATACTAAAGTCTCAAATATTAATGCCAACAAACATATTGTTAGTTAATATATGCATATACATGTAAAACTGTCGCTATATAGTAATTTTTTTTATAATTTCTAAGAAAGAAGAAAAATGTATTATCTTAAAGTGTTTTATATCGAAACGCAATTGCATATGATTTAGTATCGTAAATTACAAAGCAAAGCTGTATGTTTAATCTTTTCTATGCCTCATCATAAATATATACATATAAAGAATATGAAACAAGTAGTGCATATACAAATTATAAATGTGTTTTTAGAATGTTAAATAAATTTTGATTTTATGCAGAAAATAATTTTTCTGTTATTGTTTTATTTAAGCTGTTTGTTTACTTACTTGAACCTTAGAAACCCCGCAGACAAATTAGTAAAATTGTGCAGCATACAACTAATATAAAAATTGCACACTTTAATTGTCAACAAATTTTAAATTAATTTGTTGACTTTATCCATAAAAATTCGTTAGGCGTTGCATAAAATAATATGAACATTCAATAATATTTATATAATTTAATATCCAAAACCACATGCAAAACTCTAAAAGCCACATGACATCCCAAGGTTTCAATTCATTATAGGTATTTGAAATTCATTCTTAATTTTTTTTAAGCATGCAGTATTCAATTACCCCGTTTTACAAGCTGTTATTTTTGTTATAATCTCTACGCTATATACATAGTACATATACATACGCAACATATAATATAATAAACTCAAGAAAATGTGCCAAGCGGAGAAATACAAATACAAGTACGATGTAATAATGAAGAAGTTTCTAAATTATAATAATGAAATAAAATTTAAGCGAACTGGAATATGAAATATAAAACATAAATACTGAATACACACTCAAATATACAAATACTAAAAATCAATTTAATCATTTCTAAATTGCATAAGCAACTAAATAACACAAATAATTTGTAAATAAACTATTTCGCGTGGAATGTCAGCAAAGTATGTAGATGCCAATTTGTGGGTGTTAAAACATGTTTTATAGTATTTCAAACTCTAACTGGGTAACTTTCTGTGTTGTTTTAAAAATTATATTTGTATTTGCACATTGAAAAAATGCTTTCTTTCGATGAAGCTCTAGATCTGAATTTAATCCATGATTCAATTATATTGTGTCCCAAAAACAACACTTTGTCCACAAAGTTTTAATCCATAATGTCAAAATCAGTTGTTTTGTTTTGTTTTTATGATTCAACAATAAACTTTTCAAAAATTTCAACTAATTAAAATGTGTTTTTTGAGTGATAACTGAATGCTAATAGATTGTAAACATGTTTCAGTTATATAAGTTTGTGAAGATACGGAGCGTGCTTCCTCTTACGAAAGAAGTGTTTGTATTCATTATGTCAAAAAAATTGATTTTTTGTTTATCTTGAAATTTTTCTATTTACAATTTGATGATTTTATGCGATTTACAATGTATTCGTATTGAGTTATCACTCAAAAAACGCATTTTCATTGGTTACCATACAAAATCATCAAAATGGTTGTGTTTCTTCCATGATTCAATTATATAAGTTTATGTTACTTCGAAGCGTTCTTCCTCTTAGGAAAGAATTGTTAATCCATAATGTCAAAAAAAAAATTTTTTATTTGTTTTTCTCATGAATATCTATCTTGCTTCCATTTTGTTGATTTCTTATGATTTACAATCTATTCGTATTAATATATCACTCAAACAAACACATTTTCACTGGCTGAAATGTTTAAAAAAAAGTTTTTCGTTTAAAAAACAAAAATTAAAAAAAGCTGATTTGGACATTATGTGTTAAAACACTTTTGTCTATTGGTGTTGTTGTGCTATCGACACATCCTTATATAATTGACGCATGGCGTCATGGCTCCAAGTAACAAAACATGTATGTAATCGAATCATGATCTGAAACCTATAAATTCAATTTGTTATATATATAGTACAAACGTACAGATGTAAATTGCTGATTTTTTTTTTCTCCTTATTGTTTAATTGTTTAAAATTTGCAACCACCACAGTGTACATGCTATTGTAACCGCTATTTTTTAACTCAGTGGGGCTTTTAAGTAAAAACTTATGCGAATTTCTTTCCCCCGAACAGCTTTCATACTACGTGTATAAATCAGCGAATTAACGTCTCGCTGTCTTTATGTTTGCTGATTGATTCGCACAAATTCTCTAATTGGAAGCAAACAACAACATAAATTAAACAATGTTTACAAAATTTAAACTATATAAAAATGCACTAACTATTTGAAACCAACTCATACTAAAAAAAAACTCATACTACATATACACATATCTGCATGTATAAACATATAAATACATTAAATTTAAATATGATTAATGATAAATAATGTGAGTGCGCTGTACAAGAAAACCAAACCAAAGCAAATTACAAAACTTTTGGCAACAACCCTTTTGGATATGACGAAAAAATAAACGACATACACGACTACATACACATACGAGTACATAGTACATAAGTCAAAGTAACAAACCAAAATACCAATTAAAACTGCAACTATTTAGCAAGACAAAAGCAAGAAGAATGAAAAACACACAAAACAAAACCGCGTTTCGGACTCAAAATTCTAAAATTCAGGTATTACGAAAATAGTCTTGAACTATAAATCAAGAAAACATAATTTTGTAATTTAAGTGTAAGTGAAAATGAATAAATAAATTCAAAGTTAGAGGAAGATTTAAGCAAATATTTAGATACATCGTTTTACAAAAACCAAATACGTATTTTAACAAAATGTTTCCATGAAATAAAAACGATTAATATTAAGAATTGCCAGCAAATGTTTGTGACAAAATAATATTATTGAAAAAAATAAATAAGTAAATATGCTTTGTTAAGTTAATATTAAATTATTAAATATTAGATCCCGAAATAAGAATTAAAAATTGAAAGTTTTTCCGATTTTGGGATTAAACATTTTTTATTTATTTATTTTTATTGTAAACTTGCGATTATTTTTACGGATTAAAAAAACATAGTTATATACATTATTTTTAACTAAAGTTTTCGGAAATACAAAATTTAAAAAAATTATATTTAACGTTAATTAAAATAATTTTTATACATTATTTGGTAGCCTGGTTGGACGTCGAAACCAAAATAAGGCCAAAAATTACATGGAAGTAACGATAACGTAAATAAAAATGATAAATTCAATAATTGCAGCACTTTTATCTTAAATTTAGGGCCACACACACCACTTGGAAGGCCGTATGCGTTGATCTTCTCACTTATCGAAAGCTAGCTCCTTGAAAGTTTTTTTTTATAGGTCAACCAAAACCAACAGACGGAATTTTTCTAATGTTCATTTTGTCGAACTGCTGTGTTAAAAACATGATCTTAGTAAAGGTGGTATTGGTAATTAAAGAGCACTGATAACTGGTACGTTGCCAGCAAGTTGCAATGGCGACAATTTTCCAAGCTTGCATTCACTAGTGTTACTCCGACATTGTTTTTTATCGTTATTTGTTTTTGTTTTTTCTATCTTAAATGAAATAAGAAAAAAATCTAAAAGCGCTTTGACTTGTTCGCATTCGCAATTATAATGTATTTCATTATCTCTGAACTGCGAATATTTTGACATATAGCTAAATCTATTTAAGCTTTAATCCAGCTAAATCCAGTTTAGTTATTTATTACATATATGTATATGTAAACACTCATACAAATGTACATATACTTTTAAAATATTGCACAAACGAAACTTAACAAATATACGTACATGAAAATTAAATAATAACAGAAGTGAAGTGTGTAAGAAGCCCGTAATGAAGTGCATTTTAAAAATGAAAGCAGTGAAATGCAGAATACAAAAGAAAAAAAGGAAATAAATAATATGTATGTATGTTATTATAGTGAATATATACCATATATTATCTACAACTTTAAATGAACACATAAACAAGAAGTCATATTAATTTATTTAATAATTCTAATTTACTTGGCGAAAGCTTTGATTTCTAAAAGAAATTAAAGAAACCAATTACAGAGCATATTACGTTAATAAACGAATCGAAAAATCTAATGTGTTTGTCCCCAATTGCACCAAAATGTGTCTAAATTTGCAAGCATCTTTCTTTAGATTTACAATAAAATTCATACATAACATACATATACTATATAATAGTATTTCTAAATTCAATATGTGTAAGACTACCGTCAAAGCAGAATTATTGCTATGAATGTAAATTGTGAAAAAACAGCAACAGTTATGCATAATTACAAATATTGCATAGCATTATATAATACAATACATACATACGTATATATGAAATAACTAATAAAAATAAATAAAAGTAAAAAAATAAATAGTAATGGAAAAGTTTATATATATTATTACAAATACGAGATACTTAAATATAAAATTTATTCTAAAAAAAAAACGATTTTCTTTTTTATTAAAATTATCTGCAAACAAAACTTGCCCTGACCCTTTCAAGATTTTTTTCTTACAGTATCATAACTTGTGGGTCCATATTGAAACGCTTCTGGCCAAAAGATGTATTCAATAGCATAAATCACAGACGTAATAGATCACCGCAGACTTCAGCTCTGCTTAAAAGCAAAAGTTCCCTAATGCATTATGGGGACAAACATTTGAAAGTAGATAATTTACCACAAGTAACGGCTGCATAACTATTAATAATATCTATATAATAAATAATAATAATCTTGGCATAAATTCTGTTACAAAGTTTGTAATACGAGGAAATATGAAAAAAAAGCAACATGTTGCTACAGAGAAAGGTAGTTTTGTACACCTAACGTTTGTTTGATCACCTAAAAATGATCATGATGAGGAGACGAGTTGAATTCCGAGTGGCTGTCCGTTCGTGCAAGCGATAACTTTAGTAAAAATTGGGATATCTTCATGAAATTTGATACATCTGTTCCTTGACACCCAGGAGATGCAAGACTGATATTTAGTACTACGGATCGCAGTAGAGAGGCACGTTTGTGGTTAAAAAAATTTTGAAAAAATGGACTTGGCGTGGTTTTGGGTGCCACAGAAACTATTTTTTCGGTTTTGTTATCAGAAACGTAGCAAGAAGGTAGTCAATCAAGAAGGTACAAATCAAGCACCAATGAATGTAGCGGGATAAAACTACTACTACTTGTACGAAAGCCGAAAATTGTGAAAATCTGTCTACAACTGTCCGAGCCCCCAGATACCGAATATGTGAACCCGTTTCTATTGCGTACTTTTGATTAAAAATATCGATCAATATATGCTATTATCGAAGTTCGAAAAATCCTTTCGCGATAATAGTACGTGAAAATATGTTTAACTCGTCTACGAATTACCCCAACTCCCATTTACTACATATAATGATTTTCGTTATTCTAACAAACCTTATACCGAATATGTTGGTCATTGTGGGAGTTAAATATGTATTTATAAAATTGCTTGAAATTATGTTATAGTATAGCTGATCAATGTCAAAAATTATGGCAAACAACCCAGACCTTTCTCTGCTCAAAATTATCTTACGGTCAACAGCTATTAAAGTACCCTATTTACAGATGAAAAAAAATTCACTGCTGAAGAAATTTTTAATAAGCAAAACGACTAATTCTACGAAAAAAATTCCATAGGGGGCAGATGAGAGCACGTTTGGAAGTCTAGATTGGAATTTATTGGACTAAAAGTGCAAAAGGTGAATGTTTCGAATATAATTAAGTAAATTGCTAATTTAATACATGCAATTTTATATAAAATCAAATTTATAAAATAATTTTTATTATTATAATAACGACAAATTAATTGTTGTAACAGAACTTTTGGCAGGACTAAACATATCTAAATATCGTTTTATAAAGCTATAATCGTCTATAGAATTCTGATAATGCAACAGAACTTATGGCAGAACTAAGTATATCTAAATTTCAATTTATATTGCCATATTCGTCTGTAGAATTCTGGTACTTCATCATTGAAATCGCCTTCCAATGAATGCACATTCGAGCGGTAGATATTTTGAGGATCACTAGATGGAAAAGCAACACTGATATCAGCACAATTAACAAAAGTTTCCTGCGGTCCACATCCCAAAGCGCTTGTACCATTTCCGCACGGTCCCCAGTTATTGCCTGAAATAGTGAAATAACAGATATTCAATTAGGTTTTGTAACTGACTATCCTCGCTTTTGAGCCTACCACCAGTATAAGTCCAACGCAGCACACAATGCTTGCAATTCAATTGTTCGGGCCAAACAAGGTCTGCAACAATCCAACCCGCTGCACTACCAATATAGAGACGATTGGAACCATCTACAAAACGTAGTGAATACTTTGCGAAGCAGTTTTCGGACTCGGCGCCAAATTCAACCAGATTGCAAAGATCAAAATGGAAGTAACCCAAGTGATTGGTGGTGATGCGTACACCTACCCTAGCTGTATAGGAATTATGAAATTCTTTTGTTATCACACCCGAGCCACCGTAATAACCGCCGATTTCGTTTGCTCGTGGCATGGGCATTGCATAATTATCACCGCACAGTCCACATTTACCATTGTTTTTTTGCCATTGGACCTAGAAAGATCGATCCGAGTAGAAATATGAAATTCCAGTAGCAAAATCAAAATTTAATACAACATATACAAATATTCTGCTTGTTATTCATGAAAGTGTGGAGCAGTAGAACTCAAAGCTTTAGTACAGCAGTTTTTATACTTCCATTTAGGATAACTATTGCTCCACTTCTTTCAAATTCGACTGTATTCATGCCCATTCACATAGGGCGTAGTGCTACCAGTTATTGTTTTAGTGGCCGAAAACATCCCCGGAACAATTAATAGGAATGCTGCCGAGTTGATAGTGCTTGGCCAGTCAGTTCAGGTTACTTAACCCGACTGTTACCTGTCGTGGTCACTGGTCGCAGCTATGGAATCAAAGGCAAAATGATTTTTAGTACATGCCGAATATACACGCGAGCTTCTCCACTTATTTTTGATAGGCGAATTGGAATTATTCGACAAAAGAATGGTCTTCAAATATCTTCTGAAAATTTATAAGGAAATTATGGGTGTCGGAAATACACTGAGTGTGTTGCCATTGCTTGCCGAGGCCACTGTTGTTAATATAAAGTTTTTTATGTACAATACATTTTCATAAACCACCATAAAAGATCGTCTGCTAAACGAAATAAGAGTTACACAAATTGCTTACTTATACCTTATAAATCCTTTAGCTTACAGTAAAATATTTTCCTTACCGTCATACCACCACAATTCAATCCATTATCATCATAGTTAATGGGCGCTGTAGAATTGTAGCGCCAACGAGAAGAGCGACCCGGCGGATCCAGCATCATGCCGTGTCCAGACACCAAACCGCTATAAATACATGCAAAGTTGACAAGCGCGAAGCTAAATAGAAACCTCTGTTTGTAGGAAGACATCCAAGTGAAATTCACACAAACTGTTGAAGAAACAAAAGCACAATCCTTCAACGCATATACTTGTAATTAGCAAAAGCAACTCGGTTGTATGGAAAACACACACTAAATGTTATCGCTTTGAAGACACTACTTGTAGGAGAGCATTTTTCAGACATATTTATAGATGACAATACTTTTTATGAGGCCAATCACATTATCAGCGGTCGCTTGGCTGTTAATGCTGATAAAAAAGCAAAAAGTCCCTTATCAAAGACATTGTGCTGCAATCCACGCTCTAGCTGGTAAGCATTGTGATGGCATATAAGTCTATATGTATGTAGATTGGTATGTTTGCGCTTTTAGACAACATTTATGTCAATGTGTGTTTTGTTACACATCTACCAGATTTGATGCGTCCTACGAGTACACGATATAACAATGTCTGCATACCTCATGGGAAATATTGAGCAGCACGCTTATCTAAGAAGTCTGATACCTCAAAAAAAAAGTACGCTTAGAATAACGAAAGTCATTCGCGAAGTTTGTAACACTTAAAAAGAAACACCGGAAACGCAATAAAGAATATATATGAATGATCAGTGTGATGAGCTGAATCGATTTAGCCATACTTACCGTTAAAAAAAAAATTTTTTAAGTGTTACGCAGATTTGATAATATTTTATATTTTTACTATCAAACTGTTTTATTTAGAAATAAGTGACATATTATTTATCAAAAATATTAAAAATTAAAAACAAAACACATTCAATTGTAGACTAAATCATTTTAAAGTTAGTGAGGCTTACAAAATGAGCTCGAAATTAAGAGACTGACACGCGATGAAAAAGTTTTAATGTTTTATTTTAATTTAATTTAACTTATACTTTAATTACAATTAAAATTTGCTTTTATTTTTTAAATTGAAATAGAAAGGTCGTGTTATTAATTTAAAATCAAACAAATCGAACGCTTTTGTATAAGCAAAATAAGGGCTATTTTGTGTTTTATGTTGGAATATACTAAATTTTTATTTTTAATGCCGATGTTGGGAATAAAAATTAAATTTTACTTTTAAGTTTGGGATTAAAAATTGTAAATTAAATTTTTCAATTTGGATGAAGTGCGCAAAGGCGAAAAAATTTTAATTCTAAACCAATTTCTTTTTATTTTAATTCTTAACTATATGCTTGGGATTAAAATTTTTCATTTTAATTTTTCAATCCGGTAAAATAAATCATTAATCCGCCATACAAAAAGATCGATAAAAATCCAGTATTTGTGAAGGGTATTATAGGGTACACTGTGGTGCAATCGAAGTTAACGTTTTTCTTGCTTTGCAATTAATTTTGAAACGCTATTTAAAGTATATTTTGTTTTTATTGTTTAATTCCGCTTTTTAAAATACAAACGAAGCGTGCACTAATTAAATACAGATTATAAAAAGGAAACACAACGAAAATTGCTTAAATTGATATTAAAAAAAAAACATTAAAAATTAAGGAATACAAATTTCTCATAATTTTTTTAGGTAAATAAAAAGGAGCACATTAAAAGGTTATATTAAAACTCTTAGCTAGATTTTTCGAAATTTAGATATGGTAATAGTAAACAAGCGGAAGAAATCTTAGAAACTAATCTATGTTCAAAATTCAGTGATTTCTATAAAAGTTGCTGCTGCATTACGTCAATTTCTGTCTGGAAGCATTAAATTTGGAATCAATGCATGTACATTTTTAGCACTTATAAATCTATCCATTTCATTTTTCAGTTTTCTTTCTGTCACTCATTTTTTCAAACCCAGCACGAAATTGGTCACATCATACTCTTCATCATACTGCTGTTCTGACCATAGCTCTGGTAATGATTCAATGATAGCATTCATAGACGTTTGCCCAACACTACCACCGCTCGTATTCGAAGCTGGCGCACCACTTGATCCAGTTTTATCATTCATATTTGCGTTGAACAAGTCAAATAACTGACCCGTGCCCATCGTCTCCAACGAGGCATTCTCTGAACTAACCACTGTATTCGCGGTGAGTATTTTGAACTTCTGCAGACCCATTATTTTTTCTTCGAGCGTTTTTCGAGTTATCAAACGGTACACATTCACTACTTTTTTCTGGCCGATGCGATGAGCACGGTCCATGGCTTGTAGGTCCTTCATTGGATTCCAATCGTGCTCAACAAATATTACTGTATCTGCGCCAGTCAAATTTAAGCCGAGACCACCAACCTTGTGTTAAATACACATATGAATATATTTAGGGTAAAACGTGATTGGATCATATGCTTACCTGAGTGGTTAGTAGTAGCACATCAATACTCGGATCGGTGTTGAAGTTATTTACAATTTGTTGTCTTAAGGACGCTGGCACACTGCCATCCAGGCGCAAGTACGTAACGGACGGCAAGTGCTTACGCAGCAAGTCATTCTCGACAATATTTAACATAGCTTTCAATTGACAGAAAATTAGCGCGCGATGCTGACTGACAGATTCCGTCTGAACACCAATACCGCAATCGAGCAATAGTTGTCTAATTGATATAAGAAATGGAAAATATTTTAGAACATAAACAACATTAGGTAATAATTATTAAATACCCACTTCAGTGCCGGTAATTTCGCCGAGTGTTCGATGTCATCCAGTGAGCTTTGCTGTTTCTGCAACTCTACTGTTATCTTCCCGTACTCCGAATGCTTTGCCGTCAGCACCAGTTTCGGATGATTGCATACGTTTTGTAGATAACGCAAATCATGGAAAATATGCGCCTTTTTACTAATGCTGTCACTATCGCCCAAACTCTGCAAGCAATCCTTCCAATGAGAATTCAAATGTGTACGACTGAAGTCCTCGTACAAACGTTCTTGCAATGGACTCAATTCGCACAATAAGTCTTGAGTTATTTTCGGTGGTAAATCAGTCAAGACATCCTCCTTAACGCGTCGTAATAGGAATGGCAACACCTGCCGATGTAATGCCTCCATAGCAAGAACGCCGGCTTCCTGCTCCTTTGAGGAGCTCTTGGAATCGCGAGAAGCAAGTATTGGCCGGCTGTAGCGTGCAATAAACTGCTTCTCAGTGCCAAGAAAACCGGGCATGAGAAAGTCAAATAGAGACCACAGCTCCAGTACATTGTTTTGTATGGGAGTACCTGAAAGTATCAAACGATGCTTAGCTTTGAGCATCTTAATAGCCTTCGAGCTTTTGGTTTTGCCATTCTTTATGATGTGGCCTTCATCCAAAACACAATAGTTCCAGTGTATGGTACTAAAGAAATCTATATCCTTACGTATTGTATCATATGAAGCCACAATTAAGTTACATGCGCCAATTTGGCAACGCAGTTTTTCACGACCAATGGGCAATCCGACGTAATGTAGTGGACGCAAAACGTTCGACTTATGTATAAATTTTTCCACTTCGTATACCCAATGGCCAGTGAGAGTGGGTGGACAAATCACCAAGCTTGGCAGTGGTGTGGCTTTGTCTACTTGACGTTGATAGTGATCGCCCGCGAGTATGCAAATCGTTTGCAGTGTCTTTCCAAGGCCCATGTCATCGCATAGTATACCATGCAAATTGTATTTATTAAGAAACCATAACCAATTCACGCCCGCTTGTTGGTATGAACGAAGCTCCACCGAAAGTGTTACCGGTACTTTGTAGTCGGGTATACTTTTTGGCGTAAAAAGATAATCGAGAAATTCACGATCGCGTATCTTACGCTGTTGCAACTCTGCAGAAGGAATCTCGTTTTTAATGCATTTGCTGCGCGAATCTAATGGCATCAGCTGTATGAGTGCAGCGAAACAATGGGTGGAAAGCAGGCGCACAGATTCATCTGGGTCACTCATGCAACCTGGAAGGTAGTGTAATTAACAAAACACATTATAAAACAAAAGATAAAAAGAAAGAGACACTTACCCAACAAAGGGACGACTAGAAGCACAGTATAAGGCACAATACACAGTTGCAGCTTGTCTACCACACGTTCAACTGCTTCAATCGCACCCTGCCGCTGGATTACATTCTCAATGTTAACCAGCATACCAAGCAGTACATCCAGCACAAAGTGCATAGTGCGTACTATATCAGCAGCTGCGAGGGCTGCAATACAGCGTGCGACCATGTGGCGTACCTAATTACCAATTAATAGATCGTACCAGTCAATAAATCGAGTGTAAGTTTCAAACCTAACTTACCGCCTTTAATGGATGTGTGATGAGAACACTGAAATGTGGAAGCAACGCGAACAGTCGCTTCAGTACTTCGTCTTTTGCTGAAGTATCGCTCGCAAAGTGCAAAAAGTGTGGCGCTGCAATTTCGATCAACTGCAGGGATGTAATTATATCATTTGTTTGGGCTAAATCTAAGGGTACATCCGATAAAAGTTCCATATTTGGATAATTGTTTATGAACTGTTCAATTTTAGTAAAGAGAATATGTTGAAAAACTGGTATCTTTGAGAAGATATCCATCTTAAAGCCTAGACAAATCTTCGATATGGCACAAGATGCACCCATGCGCTGAATGCGATGCTGCTTCAATTCCTAGAAGTTTAAAAATTGGGAAAATACAAGTAAAACTACAAATTTATTTTAAAAACAAATTACCATCGCATTTACAGCATTGGGGCCATTTTCCGCTGTGGCAGGCATTTCATTTAGTGGCGGCCTGCCAGGTCCACGAGGAGCACTCGCAGCAACGCCACGGTTAACAGTACCACCAATTTGTATATTATTTTGTTGAAGACTTAAAGTTAAAATGCCATAATATACACAATTGTTTGTGACTGCTGCCGACTCAGGCAAGGGAGTCTGTTTCAATGTCAATGGGCTTAAAATCTAAAAATCAATATCTATATATAACTCGAATTTTCATAAATCAGTTGGCGTTACTCACAATTTTCGGTGTAAACTGAGGATCGCTCCTCAGTAGCGTACATAGGTTAGTAAGTATTTTACTATTGGGACTAGGATTTCTATCACACACTTGATGCATTAGCTGTACTAGGAACTCCGCCGAAAGATGTTGTAACAACTCGCACTCTTCTCGTTTTATTGATTCCATGAGCGGTTTAACTATCGGATTAAGTTTCTCCGGCAGACATTGCATACCTACAACGGCAGCAGCTAATGCCGCTTGTGCGCTTATGTTGTACGCGCACTGCTCCGCTGAGGTCTGTGCAAAAGAGTTTTGTAAACCGCGCCTGCGCTCTTCAAGTGTTTCCAACAATTTCGGTTTTAGCGCATATTGATGTAAACCCTCTGTGAGAGTGGTGGCAATGGCTTCAATTTGATCCAATGTGAGAACGCGCGCATTGTTAAAATCGTTTATGACAATTTTATATTGTTTTAGTGTGGCAATGAGATCATGAGCCTCTTGATGAAGTCTAGGCGAACAAAAATTTTAGCTACAATACATAAACACTTCGATTTACATCAATTTAAATACCTCGTAAATGAAATGGCTACTTCGTCATAATATACATACTCCATGACACATGTGAGTAGTTTCTCCGCCAATTTGGGTGCAGCAATGCGCATAGATGGGTCCATTTCCGCCCAGAAAGCAATGATTAGACCTTCAAACACAGTTTATGTAAGAAGTTTATATAAAACATGAAAAACCGTTAACTTCGGCTGCACCGAAGCTATAATAGCCTTCACAAGTACATTTCTTATAGCACAGAAGGGTATAAAAAGAGCTTATCTTGATTTTAATCGGTCAGTTTGTATGACAGCTATTCGGGCAGATATCTCGTCAAATAAAAAGTTTTCCATACAAGTGCATAATTTTGATCGTTCAGTTTGTTTGGCAGCTATATGCTATAATGGTCCGATATCGGCGGTTTCGACAAATTAGCAAAAACGGAGAAATATATACAGACATACGGACATGACCAAATCGGCTGAGTTTGTCATGCTGATCGTGGTAAACTTAATATAATCCCCAAATAAAACTTACCACACACAATGCGTTGCACCGCTGAACGTGAATTTAAATGACCTAACAGTACTTTAGTATAACAGTCCATCGGTGATTCCATATTAGGTATGTAAGCCACACCGGGTGCAGGCTGCACTAGATATTTGGAAAGTGCGCCCAGTACTCTAGCTGCTAGTATACGAGCGCGGATCACATTCCGTTCACGCACTTCCAGAGGTGTTCCTTCACTGCCGCCAAGGAAGTACCTTTGCGTTATCGGTGTGGAGTTAGCACCTAAGTCGTCGGTAACGCGTTGTGTACGTCGACGGTGTGTTGCAGGCGAGTTTCCGTCAGCTGGCATAGCCGCAAGACTTTGTGGTGCAGCAGATGTATGTATTAAT